GTCAACCCCGGTAGTGGATCACATGGTGGCAATGTGGTGTGCACTTCGCTGTTCGCATTCTTGCGTATTTGGTCTGCTTGCTCAGTACTCGTTAACGCGATTTAGGTGTTTAAGGCAGTCGTCTGGTGTACTATTTAGTCTGTAATTACGACGTGCTTGGCTGCGGGAAATGAAGTATATTCCATGGATTTTGTTTGCAATGTTTTGTTAGGCAAAGAGGCAGACTCTTGATGGATGAGTTAATATGTAGGCAAATCAATCGCTCTTTGGAGGTAATGATCTCATCTAAGTAAAGATTTTGATCGAAATTTAATTTTGAGGAGAGTTTCACATGTCCGCTTTCTTGAGTGATTAGCTTGAATTCTTCCATAGGTGCATGGTTGTGATGAATTTACAATGAAAATTCTTGATACTAATTTCTCCGTTTTACTCTTGGGTACTCCGGGAATTGGTGGTCAAAAACTAAATTAACGAAAACGTCGAAACCTTGTCTAGGGTGGGGAGAGCATGCATATGACATAACCACTCCAGCTCCTCCGACAACTGTTCCACAAGCTCAGCCAATACATCAGCAACCACAACAGCATGCTCAACAACCGGTATGTTTCACGAAATCATATTTTCTTCATTTTTGTCTTCCCGAGCATGAGTGGGTTCATTACAGGTGCATACTGGAGGGCAGGCGCAACAGCAGGCTGCTGTACCCAATGTGAGTGTTGACTATCTATGGAAGACACCGAGAACTTAAATGTAGTGATGAATTTTTGTTTTTAAGGCACAGCCTGTCTACCAACAGCAAGCGCAGCCTGTTCCTCAACAACAACAGGTTTGAGATTTACCAACAGTACTTGCTTATCTGGATTTTTTTCTTAGTCTTACTCTTTTGAATCCTTTTATTGTCTGCCTGAATAAGTGGGGAAGGGGGGGGGGGTAGAGAGGATTGCATCCCAGTGAAGAGTGCTCAACACATTCACTACTACGACAGACATTTGTAAACGTTCAGAACGCTACTCACCCAGTTTCTTTTTTGCTCAAGCGAATCGGTTTACCTAACCCGATATCTACTGACTCTGCGAAAATTGGGATTTCCGTATTGGGATCAAGCTACATTTGCACCCAAATGCTCCCTCCCAACTGAATTTCTTTCCCTTCTTCTTCCTACCCTTGAGCATGCTCCGTTGCTTTCGTCATTTGTCGCCACTTGCTTCTACTGTGCCCATAATCTCAGAGAGATCCTTCTTGATGGAATCGCTCCACCTTTCCTTTGGAGCTCCTCATGGTCGCATGCCCTGCGCTTTGGAGCAAGTCCTTTCCTTCTAGAATGGTCCTGTGGCTTTACCAGCACGTGTCCGTTCAATGCGCCTCTAGTTGGGCAGAAGCAGTCTGCATGACCGCTCTGACATCCTCGTTTCTGGTGTCCAGTCGCGTCCAGCCGCAGGCCCATCTCAGCATCCTCATCTCAGCGGAGTGAAGCTGCCTTTCGTGATTCTTGTTCAGGGGCCAGCACTCGCTGCCGTAGAGCATCGCAGGCCTTACCACTGTCCGGTACACCCTTTGAGCGTTCTGGAGCACCTTCGATCGCAGAGGATTCCAGTGGACTCCCTCCATTTCATCCATGCAGCGTTGACCCGAGCCTTCACTGCCTGATCCACACTATCCTCAGCGGCTAGATTGCTCCTAAGGTATTGAAGATCTTCCGATATTTTTTGTCCCATGGATATTCCACCATCGGCTCTGTTTTTTCTTGAGAGCTCATAAACTTGTACTTCTCCACGTTCCGCAATAGGCCATTTTCTGCTGGCGCTTTCTTCATTTTCAGGACTCTGTCCTGAAATTTTCTTATACCGCTAATAAGGCGACGTCGTCAGTAAAGAGGATGATCTTTGGTGCGCGGCCTTCGCCGCGTTCTTCGCATAACAATTTTAGCATGCGGATCTAGTAAAT